TTACACAGTCACCGTAAAGTCTCCATTGGGATCTTCTGACCACAAACTCATTTCAGTGTTGAGTGAATTACCGATGAATGTTGGGAAACAATCTAAGCTGCGCAAAGTTTGGCATTACAGATCAGTTGAATCGGAGGATCTTCAAGATCATTGCAGAAATTTTCCCTGGCTAGATGTTTGTTTTAGCTCTAAAGATCCATCAACTTCTCTTCTCTCTTCGTCTCAAGTCACGGAAGTTATTCTATCATCCATAGATGGATATATTCCCTTTTCAATGAAACTACCTTCTTACGGCAAACCCTGGTTCAACAAAAATTGCGAGCAACCTGTCGCCTCCATAAATCTCGCCACCGGCAGTGGCGCAAAAATCCCAGTGCTGAAAATCGAACTAGGTTTGTTAATGCTCGCAACAGCTGCAAACTTAGGATAAATGAAAGCAAAGAACTCCACAATCAGATAATTGGGGATCAACTGCTTGCTAATCCCAATGGGTCTAGATCATTCTGGTCAGTAGCTAAAGCTATCAATCAGAACTTCATGAAACCCACAATTCCACCACTAACACAAGCGGATGGTTCAATTGTAGCAACAGCGATGGTAAAAGCAAATCTACTAGCTGAACAATTTGCGTGCCACTCCACAATGGATTTACTGGAAAAGGCACCATCCACTATTTCCACACTAGAATCCACAATGTTACTTTTTGACAGCATCTAGTGAGGTGAATTCTGAAACAAACAGCTCAATATCTACAAGGCGTCTGGTCCTGATGAAGTGCCCGTCATCGTACCTAAAAAGTGCGCAAATGAATTTACACCAGTATTTTGCAGACTTTTCAACCTGTCTTACAAGAAAGGGGTTTTTCCTCCTTGTTGAAACTTGTATAAACCAGTCGCTTTGCTATCAGTAATATTAAAAATCATGGAGAAAGTTGTACCGCGGCCAATTGTGGAATTGGCCGCGGTGGTAGTGCGACCGACTCATGATCGGAAGACCGTGGGTTCGATTCCTGCCTCTACCAGATATTTTTCTCGAGAGAATTCATCTAGTTGAAGCTGGGATGATTCTGCAACCGTGTTAGGAATCACATGTTAAAAGGTAAGTCCTCGTTAGTCCTTGGCTTGCACAAATTTCTCAACTTCTGCTTTCGATAAGTTTGTTGGAGGGTTAAAATGGACACCAATATGTCTTGGCACAATCATGTCGCTGGAATTTCAAAAGCTGCTTCTCAAAAGATTGGAACACTATTTCGAACCAGAAAACTGTACACACCTCAGCAACTTTTGATGCTTCATAAAGCTCAGGTCACACCTTCTTCGGAGTATTGTTCTCATGTATAGAGCTCTGCCCCCAAACATGCCCTGAAGTTTCTGGATTCCATCCATAAAAGAGCCATCCGCCTGATTGGAGACGCGAACATCACGAGGAACCTTGATAGCCTGGAACATTGAAGAAAGGTTGGAGATTTGTCTCTCTTCCATAGATACTTTCACGAAAGGTGTTCAAGTGACTTGGCACGTTTGATTCCACCAAGAGCGGTGCATATCGGAAATGCACGACGGACTGTGGCTGCTCATCGTGTACTGTACATCCAGGTGTACTGAGGTTCAACTCAGTACACCTGGAACTTCACTTTTTAAGAACACTTTCATCTGGATAACTGCGTTTATGTGAAAAAAACTTCCTGAGAACCTTTTTCCAAATGTATTCAATCTCCAGCGATTCAAATCACCAATGTGAATCACTAATTTCGCACAGGCACCGCTCTAAGGGCGCCCTAAGGACACAGCAGTGCTCGTGTTTCGTCCTTAGAAAAAAAAAATACAATGACCTTCACAAAATAGTCATAATTTCAATGGGAGATATACTTGTTGATTGACTGACACCAAATTATCAATATTTGACTTCAGTTTTGTTAGGAATAACCGCAAATTTCTCCGTTCTGTGATATTCAATCTGTTTGTTGAAAAGTTTGTAACGATACCAAAACTCATTTCGACAAGATATGACAAGTAAAATGCTATCAATAGCTTTCTCTCAATTCCCACAGTCCAGGATATTTATCGAGTATTTCTGTCTGCAGCCAAAATGTTTGATACCCTCCTTTATATTTCACATTTAGTTCGTTATTAGTGCCAAGTTCGAGTAGCTCCTCTTGTAATATCACATTTTCCACTTCCATGGCATTCGTATTTAATATTTATATTGTTGAAGAATCAAACAAGTTCATGCAAGATTGCAAGTACACACACAAGTGATATTTCGTTCCCTTTGCACGTCTGAACGAGCGTTGCGGATGGCGTCGGCGCTTTGCAAGTCTCGACACGTACTGAAAATGGAATTTGCAAGTTTTAACATTTCACAGTAGCTGAGCTTCTTGAAATATTATCTACTTCCATTGATAGATGAAGTCAAGCCAACATTTTAGTTTTTCACTATCGAAAACAGATAAATTTTCGCGAGCCCCCGCCTACGAATTGTGAACCTCTATTTTGTATGTTTGAAGGTGGTTGACAATATTTCATGGTGTGTTTCATCAGTTCAGACTTCCATTGTCTAATATAATATAAATTGATTTGAAATCCCTGAAAGAATCTGTAAAAAATTAAAAAGATTGACCGAAAAATAACAATTTTACTGAAAAATACTGGAATTACAAAAAAATAACATATAAGGAACAACCAAAAAATAATAAAAAAATTGAAACAATAATACAAGCTGAAAATTAAAGAATATTATTAACAAAAAATGAAAAATGAAAAGATTCCAAACCAAGTTACGTCACGACGTTTCGATTGTTAGTATCCACAATCGTCTTCGGGTGATAACTGGACTTATTCCTCCGAGATCTGACTATAGGTCATTCAAGTGTTTTCACCTATTCCCTCTCACCGCGTCATTGCTTTTAGCGGGAGATGACCGTTTGGCGGGAGTTGGTCGTTTTTTGCTTGATTAGAGGTTTCCATATGTTACGTATCTCTACGCTAGCTTGACTAAATGTGTTGTTGGACAACATAAACGCGGCTTCTTTGAATTTTCTACTAAACCAGTGTTCCTCTTTGTGGATGATTTCAGCTTAAGCCCACTTGATGTTATATTGATGAGCCCAAACATGCTCTGCTATTCCGGATTCGCTGGTTTCTCCTCGCTGTGTGTGTTTCTTGTGCTCAGCAATACGAACTTTCAATGGACTCTTAGTTTCACCGATGTATGATTGTCCGCACTCACAGGGTATCCGATAAATGCAATTCTTGGAATCGCATTCCGCGTTTGGTGGCCTGGTTTTCGTGAGACTGCTACGGATATTGTTTCCGGATCTGAAGCAGGTTCTGATGTTGTACTTGGACCTAATTCTTCTTATTCTCTCCGATAATTAATCCTCTGATGTAGGGAAGTACAAGTACTGGTTGTGGTGGCTTCTCTTCCTTGTGGAGGCCTGTTCTACCATCACTCTGGAGTAACCAACTAGTTCAGATACTGCCCTGTGTGAGTGGGTTTCCGATACACAGATATTTCTCATTTAGTGTCGGTCCTCTTCACCAATACCTCTAAGAAAGGCAATTCGTTGTGGAGTTTCTTCTCCATTATGAGAATGATGAAAGGACTTACGTTGTTGATGATGATACTTTCCTGAAGCACATCAACAACGTAACAATCACTTTTACAATGGAGAAGGAAGTCCACAACAAATTGCCTTTCTTAGACGTATTGGTGAAGAGGACCGACACTAAATGGGAAACATCTGTATATAATAATAATAATAATAAGTGGGCTTTATTCATTGGCATACATTGTTTATAAAGAAGAAGTAAATCCAAAAATAATGAAAGGGCGATGTTCAGCCGAGGCTGTTTTACAGTATCGAAAACCCACACACACAGGACAGTATCTGAACCAGAAATCCAACCACCATCAATCGACTAAGAGAGGAATCATCAAGACTCTACTAGAACGTGCTTTCGGGCTCTGTAATACAAGGAAAGGTTTCGGAAAGGAACTAGGCATAATCAAAAATGACCTTCAATGGAATGGTTACTCCAGAGTGATGGTAAAACAGGCTTTAGCTAGAAGACAGCAAGAGCTCCAAAAGAAGAGAAGCCACCACAACCAGTACTTGTACTTCCCTACATCAGATAATTATCAGAAAGAATAAGAAGGATTGGGTCCAAGTATAACATCAGGATCTGCTTAAGATCTGGGAACACTATCCGTAGCAGCCTCACGAAAACCAGGCCACCAAACGCGGACTGCGATTTCAAGAAATGCATTTACTGGATACCCTGCGAGTGCGGAGGATCATACATCGGTGAAACTAAAAGGCCATTGATAGTTCGCATTGCTGAGCACTAGAAACACACACAGCAAGTAGAAACCAGTAAATCCGGAATAACAGAGCATGTTTGGACTCATCAACATAACATCAAGTGGGCTCAAGCTGAAATCATCCACAAAGAGGAACACTGGCTTAGGGGAAAATTCAAAGAAGCCGCGTTTATGTTGTCCAACAATGCATGTAGTCAAGCTAGCGTTGAGATACGTAACATATGGAAACCTCGAATCAAGCGAAAAACGACCAATTCCCAAACGGTCATCTCCCGCTAAAACCAATAAAGCGGAAAGTCAGTCAGATCTCGGAGAAATAAGTCCAGTTACCACCCGAAGACGATTGTGGATACTAACAATCGAAACGTCGTGACATAACTTGGTTTGAAATCTTTTAAGTTCAATTTTTTTTTGTTAATGATATTTTTCAATTTTTATTTTTCAGCTTTCATTAATTAATCTTTTTTTTAATTGTTTGGTTGTTGCTTGCATGTTATTTATTTTTCAGGGTTTTCAAATCAATTTATATTATATTAGACAATGGAAGTCCGAATTGATGAAATACTCCATTTTGTAGTCATGGCAACGTTGCCCAACGTTGCCACTTCAAGAGTTACTGGTTCATTAGATAAAATATTCACTATCCTTATCCTTTCATCGAATTTTATTTTTGGTAGGATTCCTGAGCACGCTCTCTTGCGAATCCTCCGTCCTGATTCTCTCTTTGGTCACTTGGGACAGATTCATTTCCGTCACTCAGCCACTAGCCAGGAAACAACCCTCAAGAAAAACAGCAGCTATTACTCTCATCTTACTCTGGTGTTTTGCTACTCTAGTGGCACTGATCCCTCTCAGCAACCTTACTAGAGACTACTTTGGAGATGAGTTCTATGGAAATAACGGAGTTTGTCTATCCCTGCACATTCACGAACCGTTTTCAATGGTGAGTTATTGATATTTTTCATCAAAAACAGATTATGAATGTGACGCATATTTAAAAAACTGTTTTCTCACAAGGAAACAACAAAAATGTGAACAATATTTCAATTCGAATGTATTGAGTTTGAACAAAGATAAAACCAAAAAAATAAATGAAAATGACAATGGTGTGCGCTTACTAGGTTTTCATGTAGACAGCAATCTAAACTCGAAAACACACATCATTGGCATTAATAAATACTCTTTAAATGCTGTTTCGCCCTAAGGAGAATGAGGAGTGTGTTAAGCAGAGATGTTCTCAAAATTGCATACTTTGGTATCCCTGTATCTGTAGAGTAGGGAGAATTAATGTAGACCAACAGCACTTAGGCCACATGCGACCCATTGTTTCAAATTGATTACTTCTTTCCTTTCTTTGAAAGATTCCCACATTTTTTTGTATCATAGTAGAATGATGATGGAATAGTAGAAAGCCAGAAACTTTCTTTCCCAAAAATTAATCACTCCTAAAAAATAGCCCCTTCAATTCAAATAAGATTCCTTTTGGCTGAGATTTAATCAAATAGGTGAATGAATGTCATTACGATGTCATCGGTAACATAAGTAGATCAAACTCATTCCGTAACATTAAAAATCGGAATTCATGAATGAAGTGTGTGTATTTTCTATAATGTTATCCAATTTGGTACTGAAGAGCCTTGGGGCAAGTGTCTTGAGGCGAAACATCGATGTATACCAGTGAGGATGACAGTGTTCCATGTAAGTGCAATTTGTTATCATTCATTTAAAAAAGAACTCCTGTGAATGATATCTGATTTTATTTCATAACGAATGTTTGAAATACGTGAAATACAGTAAAGAAAAGTATCTTCTGTATAATTCAGTGTTCATATAAAAGTATTTGTTTCGAAAGAATTTTTTTCTTTTGTGTAATTCAATGTTTATATGAAAGTAGCTGTTTCAGGAGGACTTTCTTTCAGTTTGTGTCTGAAAGTTACTTCTTTGCATGATCTACACATCCATGTATAGAGTTACTTATTTTCAAATTGATTAATCCTTCCTTTCTTTGGAAGATTCTCTCATCCATTTTTTTGTATCAGATGGAGTAGTAGAAAGCCAAAAACTTTCTTTCCCAAAAAA